ATATCTTTTAATAAAATGGGAGGTACACTTAAAACTCTTCCGCTGCATACCGAAGTATCGTGGCTACCTCGAGGAAGATCACTCCTGCAACTGTCTGAGTTGCTAGCTAAACAAGCCACTTTTTCGTAATACACCATTTGTACTTGAAAGAATGACTGAAATACAAACCGTGGGATCTGGCAAATTACTGAACTCAGTTAACAAGTGAAGGAAGTGAGCCTGTTACTTCTAGGAAAACAAGTGACAGTGCTTGGTGCGAGGGATAAAACTTGAACGTTTGAGCAAAAATCAGAATTTGGGCAACCCTGACCTGCCACTATGACTTCACCAACTTCTCAAGACTCAAAGGCTTTCTAATGAGATTGGTGGTGAGGTTGACAAATGTGACTTCTGGATGTTGGATTAATGAAATATGTCAACATTTGGAGGATTCACATAATTCAGTGAATCAATATGTCCCAAGCGAGCCATGTTAGATGTAAGAAATCATGTGTGGGCACAATATCCATTCAAAGTGCCAGTTAGACCAAAGGTTTTGTCCAACCTAACAGAACACAAAACCTTCACTGGACGAGGTTTCAGATTCCACATGGCAGCAAACCTCTAAGAAACTACCACTTGGTGAGTTTTAGTATGGAGTCCAAGAAAAATATCCATGGTTATGTAATAAGGCAATTAATACACTCCTCCCTCTTCCAACTACATATCTGTGCGATGCTAGATTTTCAACCAAATCACAGCAGCCTGACTGACAGAGCAGATACGAGAACTCAGCAGTCAAGTCAGACATTAAAAAGTTTTTGCAAAATTGTGAAACTATGCTGTTTTTTTCCCCTCAATCAAATCTTATTGTTGGGGAAAATACAGGGTTTTTTTTCCCATTAAAAATAATGCCAATCTGTAATGGGTTTATTCCTGTTATTTTAAAATCAATTGTTGAAGATTTAGACATGTTTTCGAGTTTACTTTCTAAAATAGTAAATATTAATAGATCTAAACTTTATAAACTAAGCTCCTTGGAGTCATCAGTTTTATAAGAGGGTAAAGTGGTTCAGAGACCGGAAATTTTGGGACACGCTGTCCTAAAAAACTCACAGATTTACACAGACCTTAATGTGTAGTGTTCACATAACAGCAAGAAAGAAACGAAACAACTGGAAACAACTTAAATGTCCAATAATAGGAAAGTGGCTAAATAAATTATGGTGCCTCCATTTGGTAGAACATTACGCAGTCATTAAAGATTATGTTTTCAAGGAGTCTTTATTGTTGTGGGAAAATGCTCAACACACTCGACATGCCGTTAAGTGATTAAAAATGGGAAGAAGCAAATTTTCACAATCATTGTTTCTGTAATGCCCTGATTCCCAGAGCGATCAGTGAAACTGAGGGGGCCTGGGGAAATCAAGACACCCCAAAAGGGTCCCGTGGCAACAAGCTCATTACACGTGTAGGGCTGGGGGTCACCCTGGGACTCTGGGGTAAGTTTATACATGCAACGACACCATTCGTTATGAAACAATCATTCAGGGCTTCTGTCTTTAAACTCACGATGAGACCCAAATCATGAACCACACGTCCCCAGACTCTTCCCCACAGAAACTAAGGAACCTTCTAAATCCCTCTTCTCCCTGGACTTGATTCTTTTCATTGCTTTGATGTTGGAACCACGGACTGATGTTTCGGGTGTTTGCTTGGGTTCCTAATCCTTTCACGTGCTGAAAAATCCCAGTTTCAACCAACCCCAAACCAAAGACTGATGGTGGGAGGGTGGGGACCCGCCAGAGTGGAAGCCTTTGGGGGCTCTGCATTTTCCCACCGCAGGGGTGCTAGCAAGTGTCACCCAACATCTGCCACTCACCCGGCTTATACATTTATTCTCATCCTTCTCATTATGGGCATATAAATCCCTTTTCATGCCCCAGCCTCCTTCTGCTCACATCTGTCTGCAATTTACTCACCACACGCTGTGGCTGGGGAGGAAGTGTCTTATTTATGACTCTGTAGACCGCCAGGCAGGAAGTTCGAGGCCCATGAAGGTGCCCTCCTCCTTGCTTTTTGGGAATGCTGCTCCCTTGAGCTTAGATGGGCTCAGGGGGTCTAAGGTCGGGGCAACCCCGAATGGGAACCAGGTGACCCACATCTCTAAGCAGACCCAGGGAGGTCTGCCAGGCCCCCTCTCATCTGATAATCACTAAGTATTTGCACTCATGGCACTTGGCACTGGGCCAAACACTTTGTATCTTGTTTAATTCTCATGACAACTCTGTAAAGTAGCTACAGTCATTAGCCCCAGTTATAAGGAAAACAGGTACTGTTATTGTTACCCTCTGCAAAGGAACTCTGGTTCAGAGAGGTTAAGGAATTCACCTCAAGTCACACAGCTAGTAAGTCACAGAGCTGGGATTCAAGTCCAGATCAGATTCCGGAGTCTGCTGTCCCCATTACTGAGCTAGAAGGGACTCCCATCTCTCTTGTGCAGGCTGACTTTGTCCCTAGTGACCTCATCCAGAGGGAAGATGAGGTGTTTGATGCAATGAAAAAAGTTTTGGACTCTGCTGTTAAAAAGCTGTCAACCTGGCCAAGTTACTTAACATCCCTGAACTTCATTCGGCAGCCTCCATCTGTCAAAGGGGTTAATACCTTCTAACAGGGCTGGGTAAATGGTAGACTAAGTGCTTGGAACGGTGCTGGCACACAGTAGGTGCTTAACACAGCCTTCCTTTAACAAAAGCTGACAAGTCCTCACTGATGAGATTATTGCTCTCACAAAGGAGCTCCCCCATCGGGGGGATCTCTGGGACCCTGAGCAAGGCCCTGAAGACCTTTGGTGATGCACAAGAAACGGTACAGCACACAGCTAGGAAGAAGTGCCTGCACGGCTCTGTGCCCCGTGGGCGAAACAGCAGGATGCCCCTCGCGGTAACAGCCTTCACAGGCGTGACCTCGTGTAATTCACCGTTACTGTCCCATCGCTCAGAACAGGACGCTGAGGTCTGGAGACAGGGGGCTATCTGTTCCAGGAGCAGCAGAGAAGGCACTCCTCCACCTCACAGGTCCAGAATGGGGTGTACGGGTGAGAGTTCTTTCCCTGGCCGGGGACATGGGAGGCAGGCTTCTCTGTCCTGGAATAAACACCAGCAAAGGAGGTACTTATTGAGACAGCATTTGGCTGCTTCCTGGGGCAGCCCTGACTCTCCGATCACGAAGCTTGGCGAGACCAAAGAACGTCAGGTCACAGGGCCCCAGGCCCAGCGACACTTCCTCGTGGGAGATTCCCGAGACCCGGGTCTCCTTCCTGAGAAGGGTGGAGACGCTACGAGGCTCCTGGGAAGCTGGGAGTCGAGGGCGGCTCGCAGAGATCTGCCTAGACGGCTGGGAGGTTGTGCAGAGAGAGCGTGCATGCTTGGCATGGTGACTTCTGATCATGCGGCGTCAGCTGGACCATAAACCACGTCATCTGCCCGCGACAGCCTGAAGAGACCACCCAGAACACTGCCTGAGTGGCCCCAGCGGAAACAAAGTGTCCACCTGCCTTTAAGAGTAAAATGTATTGCCAAGAATGCATGAAGGGGCTGTGACACCTGGGTGAGGGCTCGACGACTTCCCAGGCTTCCTGGGGGGTGGTTAGTGGGTGGCTGGACAGACAGCCGGTTCAGCTCGTGTGTGAGTGTTCTGACGCTCCTGTCACACCTCTGGTCAGGGAAGTCCACGATCACAGAGCCAACTCACTGCCCAGCAAAATCCACTCTCCCGTCACCTCCAGTCCAGATAGAAACTACATTTCCCAGCAGTCCCTGCGGCCACGCGCAGCTGCAAGGCCACGCGCAGCTGCAAGGTCACGCCGTTGCCATAGGGAATCTCTGGCCCTGAATTTCGGATCTTTCTCTGGGTCTCTCACAGGCCAAAGATGCCCAGAGATGCCCATCAGCCTGAAATGGCCCCCTGGGGATGGTTACAGGAGAGAGACAAATAGATTCTTTAAGCCACTCTGTTTTGGGGTCTTTGTGACAGCAGCCCCAAAGCAACCTACATAATAAACCTGCTTTGGCTTCAGAAACAGAGTCTTCAGAATATTTACCATTCCAGCAGACGGTGAGTGGAGAGGAGGTTGCCAAGGTTTATCACCTTCCTCCCTGCCCTCCCTGAAGAATCAAAGATGCTAAGAGGGGCTCAAGAGATCAAAGCAGACCCTCAAAACTATTTTCTCCCCCAATGTATCAGGCCGGAGTTCTCCGGGCACTGTCAGGAGATGGCTTCCAGCCTTTCTCAAATACCCTTTTGAAACACAACGTATGAGCAGGTGGCTCCTAGGAGAGATGGGAATGTGAGCCACCCGGATCCCAGCCCAGCTCTAAGGAGAGCAGCTGAACACGTGGGCCCCCTGGTTTTGTCTCCTAAAGCAGTTTCTCTCCCAACTCCTCACCCCTGCAACCCGCCCCCTCTACCCCGACCGTAACTCAGGGGCTGGACACTGCACTTCTTAGCAGGGAGTTCCTCCAGACCAAGCAACATGAGAAGAGGCCCAAGGTCCCCCTGGAGAGCACACCATGGTGCACATGAGTGAAACAGGGGGACAGACGTGTCCTCCAGCAGAAAACCCAGCACCTCCACACTGTCCTGTGAGGGGAGGCACTGCAGGACCCTGAGGGTTGCTTGGGAAAGAGGTGATACAGCTGCTTGGGTCAGCATCCTGGTTCAGCAAAGATGCCAACCTGCCATTCACGTATTGAAGGGAGGCGCCCCATGACTGGCCATGACAGAGAACGGGAGGTGGTCAGACTGCAGGAGGGAATGACATTTGTCCCCAACTCAGCAAGACGTGGGATTTCATTCCAAAAGAGATGGGCAGCCTGGGCTGGGGGGCTCGGTGCTGGGAGACTCCCTTGTCCACACCACTCCCTCTGCAGAGGCAGGACCCTGGTTCCCGGAGGCCTTTGTGGCCCCAGCTGAGCCCCAAGAGAGAGAGGGGAGGGAGTCATCGCCGACTGGTCACTCACCCTGCAATGCTTCTTTGGCTCTGGCTAGCTCCTGCTCCTTCTGGGCCAGCTGGACCCTGAGCTCGGTGGCCGAGAGGACCTCGGAGGACTTGCCACCCTGCGACTCCTCCAGGTCCTTCATCAACATCTCCTTCATCTGCCGGAGAAGGTGAACTTCTTCCTGGAGTCGAGACACTTCCTCCCGCAGGAGCGCTAGGGGAGAAGGACACGCGGTTAGAGCAGGGACCAGGGGACGCTGGCTTGCGCTCGCTTTTCTGGAGACAGTTCAAAGGTGCTTTGGCTTTTCCTGTTTGCTGTGCACTGAGGGTCTTTTCTACTATGTGCAGGAAGAAAACCTCTAAATCATCTTATTGCAAGGAGCCCCCGCCCTGGTCCTGGGCCCCAACCACAGTCTGCAGAGCACACTGGTGGGACGCCCCCAACCCCACTCCCTGCATCCCGCCACACTCTCTAGGGCACCACTGCTGCCGTGGCTGCGCCCAGAGCATCCACTTCTATGGCCGGCGGTCTCCCTCCCTCGGGGGGGCAGGAGTGAGGTGGAGGCTGGTAGGGGTCAATACCGTAACCCCGAGCCAGCAGCACGCCGAGTGACGCTTTATCTGTTTGACCTCATTAAATCCTACCCAAACCTCCAGAGGCACGAGGCTTCACCCCCATTTCACAGATTAGGAAGTTGAGGCTCGGAGAGATAAACTTCCCAACGTTATGGTTAGCAGGGAGCAGATGTGGGATTTGAACCCAGACCTGGTCGACTCCAGGGACACTCGATGCGACAGTGACGCAGGACAGAGCACACCCAGGCCTAGACAGTTACCTGGCTCAGAGACCAACTGAAGGGGCTTCTGAGATGTTCAGGGAAGCAGGCCCAGGAGCATCTGGTCTGGACTTCCATCACTACGGTCACAAATCACCCTCTCCCGCTGCCCCACCCTCCCACCACGCTGGTCCCTCTTTCTGTGACGTCAAAGCCTCTGGGACTTTGCCCGTGCAGGGCCCACCCCCTGCAATGCCCTTTCCCTGTTCCTCCTGTGGCCGCTGCCTCACTGTGACACAGCCTCCACCCCACACCACCCTGCCTCCTGCTGCCACAGGTCAGGGTGGGGTTGCAGTCCTCGCCTGTGAGGGTCACAGAGGGGCATGACTGCAGCACAGCTTCCCAGTCCCTGGGTCCCCGGTCTGGCTCCCTCACTGACCCGGAGTGTGGGATGAGCAAGCCCCTTCCCTTCTGAGCCTCAGACGCCCCTTCTGTAAAATGGGTCTAATCCTCCTCGGATTGGGAGGCTCCAAGGAGACACAGGAGGTGGCCCTCCTCACACGGGGCCTGGTCCACGGGATGTGCTCAGGGTTCACAGCAAGTGCTCCTTACTGGTGAGGCGGGGGAGGCCGTCTCCCCAGGCGCCTGACCCTCTTAGAGGTTACAATCTGCACTCCTTGAAGATCCAGGACCTGACAGCAGAGCCAGGTTCAGGGGTGGAGGGACGGGCAGGGGGAGCAGAGCGAGGGTCCCTCCACCCCTGGAGGCCTGGGAAAAGGTGGCGTGACTCTGGTCCCTTTCCCCTTGCCCTCCTCTTACCACCACCTTGAGGCCACCCGGGTCCGGCTGCCACCTGCATGACAGGAGGCCTCCCCGCCTTCCCAGCTCCTCCTTAACCTTCATCCAATATCCCCACAGAAGCCTGAGGCCCCTTGAAGATGCAGCGCACACGCTGCCGACTCCTGAGCTGAACACCCTCCCTGGCTGCCTGTCAGCTGCCTGACTGCCCCATGTGAGGCCCCCGCAGGCCACCTGGGGGGACTTTTCAGTCCTGGAAGGTGCTCGACTCATCCCACCTCAGGGCCGCCAGCAAGCTTCCTTCCCTTCTTCACACAATCCTTCCTGTTGGCGGTCTCGGCACTGCTGTCCAGAGACTGGAAGCGGCCCCCACCCACGGCCCAACAGAGCAGCACTTTGGACAACCCACCCCACAGCCCTCGTTCACGTGGGAGACCCACCACCGCACGCCCCGCGGGCACAGCTCCCCGGGAGCGGGCCTGTCATCCTGCTCCGTCTCATCCACTGAGGGGCCTCACATGCCCTGGACACTGTGTGACGACACATCGCTCCTCCCGCCCCTCATCCCAGTGAGAGTTTAGGGGCAGTGGCCCCAAGCCAGCTGCTGCTGTAGGCACTGGGGACCCCCGGGGGAGTGTCACGGACGGGTCCCGCCCTCGGCTGGTGCTGTCAGACCCCACAGTGAACACGGGTTGAAGGAGCCCCAGTGCACACCCCGGGGAGGCAGGCCTCCCACCAGGGAGCTCCTGGCTGCTCTGACGTGGACGGACTCAAGTGCAGGCTGGGAACTGTCCAAGTCTCTTAGCAAAACTGCAAAGCACGAGGTCTGCCCCTCCCCTGCCCTCATTCCAGACAAACATTTGCAGGCCGCCTAGACGGCAGGCCTGGCGCAGCGTGTCCAGAAAGAAGGGAACACCCTTGGCCTCAAGAAGTCTCAAGCGAGTAGAGCCGGCACACACAAGTTAGCATGATACAAAGCAGGGGTCCATCTGCTCGGGGCACAAGAACATTGGAAATGGGCCTTGGAAGACTGAGGTGGGAGGCAGTAAGCAGGGGCATCGGCACGAGCAAAGGCAAGGAGGCTGGAAAGCCAGAGGACCCGGGTGAGCAGTGAACAGCACGAGGTAAGGAAGGGCAGGAGGAAGCCTAGAGAGGTGACTGGGTCAGGTTACAAAAGGTCTTCACCCTGACCACCACTCTGTGCCTCCAGCCCTGGCCTGCCATCTCTAGCAGTACTCAAGACTGGAATTTTCATTCTTGTCCCTTGTCCTGGACTGAATGTTTGTGTCCCCAAAGAATCCTTATGTGAAACCTAATCCTTGACGTGATGATGGTATCTGGAAGTGGGGCCTTTGGGGGGTGATGAGGTCATGAGGGTGGGGCCCTCATCAATGGGACTAGTGCTCTTGTAAAAGAGACTGCGGAGAGCTAGCTCCCTGGTTCCTTTCACCATGTGAAGACACAGCCAAAAGATAGCTGTCTATGAACCAGAAGTGTCCTCACCAGACACAGAATCAACTGGTGCCTGGATCTTGGACGTCTGGTCTCCAGAATTGTGAGCAACAAATTTCTGTTGTGTCTAAACCACCCAGTATTCTTGTTAGAGAGGCCTGAATGGACTAAGACACTCTTCTTCATCAGTTCTTCCCAATTACCCATCCTGCCAGCACTTGTTCCCACTCAACTGCCACCAGACGTCTATTTCACACTAAGGTGTGAGTGACTGCTAAGCATCCCCAATTACATTTACGTTACCAGGCAAGTGGAAGACAGGGTTGTTTCTGTTTAATTTGATTTTAGGGGCTTGACGTCTGGGCTTCCTCAAACTGCCCCAAGGAAGCCCCTGAGGCTGTTTACTGTCTATGCAGATGGCAGAAAATTCCAAGAGACCTGTCTTCAAATCCAGTACTGACCACGGCCTTGTTGTGACCTTGAGCAAGACTTCTCATTTCTCTGGGTCTCTGTTGCCAGGTACACTGCATGGGGAAAATGCCACCTATTTAGGGTTGCCAGATTTAGCAAAACAAACCAAAATCCCCACCTCTCTGGCCGGTGCACAGTTTAATTTGAACTTCAGATAAACAACAAATAACTTTAAGTATAAGTGTGTCCTAAATATTGCATGGGGCATACCTATGCTAAACATTTATTCGTTGCTTATTTGAAATTCAAATTTAACTGTGTGGGATGTGTTTTATTCAGCAACCCTACCTCCAATTAGGTGGGGCATCATGAGAAAGGGCTGGCCAGATCATCTCATAGGAGGAAGGGGGTGAAGGCACAGAACACCCCTGTACCCTGCACTTGGATGAGAGCAGAGAGCAAGTTAGGGCTGGGTGCCCTTCTCCTGAGCCAATAGCAGCAAAAGGCAGATTTTTCCTGGGCTCACCTTGCTGATACGTATGACACCTAGGCCCCGCCCCTCAGTTCAGGCCCGGAACAAGCAGGAGGGCGGGATACCAGGTGCGGCACCTGTAGGAGCCAAGGCTTCAGAGACCAGGCTGGAAAAACAACTCCACGGAAAGAGAGAGGCTTGTCCAAACTTACTAACTGCACCTGCCGCAGCTGGACTAGATCTTCCAGGGGCAGAGATGGGTGACAACCCGGGACTGCAATCACAGAGAGCCTCACAAGGCTGGAGCCCATGTACCGGCCCTGGGACCAGTCACAGGCACTTCCCCTCCCTGGGCCTCAGTGGCCTCACCTGTGAAATGGGAGTGACGGGAACGAGGCGTACGTGCATGCACTTAAATGTGCTATGAGCACAAGGAGTGCTGTGTGCGCCCTCATGCCCACAACTCCCCTTCCCTTCTGCACAGGTGAGAGCAACCACACTCCTCAGAAGCAGTGATTTGGAAGACGTGGGTTTCTGCCTCAGAGGGATTACTACCTTGCTGTGTGACTTTGGGCAAGTCACTGTCCCTCTCTGGGCCTTCATAATATTAGTGCCCTTAAAGAAACTCACTCTTCATGAATCTAGGTGAATGCTATTAGATCATGCATTTCTAGATTATGCATTTTTGCCCTTGGCGGGACAGGGGTCCCTGCCCTGGTCCACAGCTGCACCACTCAGTGAGGCCACCACCAGGCACATGTGGCTATGTAAGTATAAATCAGTCACAGCGAACAACTCAGTTCCTCAGCCGCACCAGCTACATTTCAAGCGCACAGAGACCACCCCGTCATGGCATGGAATTCCTGGTCAGTGCTGGTCTAGGGGCACCATGGGAAAAGAAGAAAGCGGTGTCTGTTAAGCACCCAGTGCAGCACCAGCCCCACAGACACACGGGGACAGGAGGGAGCCCAGTGCCAGAGGCGGGAGAGCTGCTGGGGGAGGAGCCACGTTTCTGAGGAAACTGTACTGGCCCGTGCCAAAGGCACAAAAAGAAAAGGAAAGATTGATTGTGTATCTCACTGCCGACACTGAGGGGCGGGGAGCGGTGAAAGGGCCTGGTGCTAAAAAAGCCACAGACTCAGCAGAGCTCCTGGCCATAGAAGCCGGAGGTAAGCGTTGCTGGGGAGACAGTGGCTCTCCTGCCCCAGGGGAAGCTGCCAGTTATCAGTGATGCTGCCCACAGGGGCGGCCCTCCCAGCAGGCCCCGCCTCTTTCCAAGGGCAAGGGTGGGTGTGGCACACCTACTCAGGCGGCAAAGGGGGCTGGGGCAGATCTTGCCCCTCTTCAGGGCGTCTCCTTTTGTTTGCAAGAGCAGTGAGTGCCCGGCATTCAAAAAATGCCATTTCCCAGCCTCCCTTGCAGCTAGAGTTGTCTCTGGGACCCAGTTCTGTTTGGTGAGATATAGGACAAAGTCCCTGAGGAGAACTGCCCTTTAAGAAAAAAAAGCTTTTCCTCCTCTCTGCCTTCTTGCCTGGAAAGTGGACTTGTGGTTAGAGCTGCAGCAGCCACATTGTAACAAGGAGGCAACATGCACAGAGGGCAAAAGACATGCCAAGGGGAAAGGACAGAGCCTGGGGCCTGGCGAGCACAGCTCAGCCCTGCACCTGCGTTGAGACTTGGAGCAGCATCAGCTGGGCAGGGCCACCTGGCACAGGAGAGACTTTGATTTCCCTGCTGATCTACCAGCTCATTAGAACAAACCACCATCCAGTGGACAGCAGCCTCCATGGGTCTGTCTTGTGGCCGGCTCAGCTGTGGTATCCAGGAAGTCGGAGGAGGATGTGGTGGTAGGGACCACGGAGGAATTCACACAGTGCAGAAGAGAGGCGACCACTCTTGGCCCCGGGGAAGAGCCCGAGTTTGTAACAAGTCCTCTCCTGGCTTAATTTTTGTGAGCTCCCAGAGTCGGGGTGGGAGAGGAGGAAGAGAAAGGAAGAGACTTACTTTTTGTGACTGTCGGGCACCATCCAAGGACCACATGGACAGGCAATGGGGGACCAAGAGCCCTCTGAGGTCCCTCAGTGAGTGGCAGATTTGTAAAGTCCAGCCTTTGCAAGCCTAAGGTCCCACTGGTAGTAACATTGTAGTCACTGTGTATCACAGTGACAGTGACTCCTTGACTAACACTTTCCAAACACAAGGTCTCTGCTCCGGGCTCTGCTGCATTTTACTTGCCTTAACTAGTTTAATTTTCACAATAACCCTCTGAAGTAGGTTCTATCAGCATCACCCGCCTTTTACAGATGGGGAAGTTGAGGCACGGGAGTTACATGACTTGACCAAGGTCACACGGAGTAACAGGCAGAGCCAGGGTTTGAAGTGGACCGTCGAGCTCCAGTGCCCACCCTCAGTCTTAACTCCTGCCCTGCTCCATCCTGCAGGAAGAGAGGACAACAGAGTCTATGGAGTCTGTGGGTGACACAGAGGGAGCCCAGGGCCCAGCAGGCTCACTGGGGTGGATGGCAGCGGAGGCAGGCGTGCCCCCAGCACGAATGAGCTTCCTCGTTTCCCACGTGGGGATGGGTCACAGTGAGCTGGCCACTCCGTGTAGGGCCCTCCCTGCTCTCCCCCAGAGGCACAATCCCCTCGCAGCTCCTGGAGAAGGATGTAGCCATGGAGTCAGCCTGTCGGTTCCACAAGGGCAGGGGCTCTGTTCTGCTCACACCCGATGCCCAGTGCCAGCCCAGTGCTGAGCCCTCGGCAGGAGGGCAAGCGCGGTGCGGGGCAGAGATGGGACAGGCAGGTCTGGGTCAGCCAGCCGGGGCTCAGTCCTGGCTCCCCCGCTTCCGAGCTATTTGACCTCTGGACAAGTGACCTCTGAGTTTATCTGAAAATGGAGCCAAGACCAGTCTCCTAGGCCTGTGGTAAACATTAAACAAAGCAATCATCTGAGTGGAAGCATTCCAGAAGGTTCTAAATGGGGGTAACATGTAGTCCATCAAGATCATTAATATAGGACAGGGCAGACCTCCCCCATGTTCCGAGGAAAGGCCTTGGCCTCAATGACCACAGAGCCCTGACCCATGGGCCTCCCAGCCCGGGAGTGGTGGATTACATGGCAGAGAGGGCTGAGTCACCCCATCTGGAGTGAGGGCAGGAGGAAGAGCCTGGGGGCTCCGGGTGGAGGCCAGGCTGCAGTAGCCGTCCCCAGCTGCCTGTCATGGGTGGACACAGCCCTGCACACATCTGTCAAAACTCACCAGACTCAAACCACACCCTTAAGCTCTGTGCATTTCGCTGTATGTAAATTACACCTCAAGGGGGAAGAAAAAAAATCTAAACACAGCAATAACATAGTTCAGATTTTTCATTAAAAACTCACTTTTATAGACCCTCCCCCCAAACCTCAGGTATAGAGCCCAGTGGGGCCCCAGCCCTTCAACAGGCCTCAGTGGAAGAGGAGCCTGGGTCCAACCCTGGGCTCTGTGGACAACCTCCGTTCCCGACACAGACCTCCCTTCCAACCCGGTCAGTACGGGGGTGGTGAGGCCGCCCTGCCGTGGACTGGCCCAGCAGCAGGCAGGCCGTGAGGGCTCCAGAGCTCTGCTGCGGCCGGGACTGCCACTATTGTTGTTACCGCCAAATCTGGTCCAGGTCGTAGTCTCAGAACATTAGGACGATGCTGGTTCTAAAAATTGGAATCTGAATGGGGAGGGTATAGCTCAGTGGTAGAGCACGTGCTTAGCATGCATGAGGTCCCAGGTCCAATCCTCAATACCGCTATTAAAATAAATAAACCTAACTACCGCTTTCCCTCAAAAATTAAAAAAAAATTAGGAATCAGATTGTTCTTGGGGAGGTTAAGATTTTAAGACCGAGATACAATGATTCATATCAAATCACCATGAGAGATGGGCTCTCAGGCCCCAAGACTAAACAGTTAGAGGACCAGATGTAGTCACCTGTCTGAAGAGGCTGGGACCTGGTGGTGGAGGGGGACCCTGAAAAGGCAGAGTCACGGAGGGGGTCGCTGGCAGACCCCACCACCCAGGTGGAGAGTGTGGGGGATGGGGGTCATCACCAGCGGTCTAAGGGCACCTCCTCTGTTCTCCTGCCTTTCTGTAGGGGTTGTGCATGCTGAGAAAGAGGTCAGCTGCATGTTCTCTATGTTCCCTCTGTTTCTGAATTCACTCCTTCTCATCATCACAGTGATAGCAGGAATGCTCTTTTGAGCCCCTTGTGCATGCCCGAACCTTTCTCAATCTTCACACCATTCCTTCTCAATCATCAAATAACCCCAGGAGATGCACCCATTTTACAGCAGAAGCTGAAGCACCGAGAGAACGTGGTTAAGCCCAGGCGGTCTGGCTGCAGAGCCTTTCCTGGTAACCACTGAGTTGTATGATCCCTTCTCCTGCGGGTACAGCAGCCACACTGCAAGCTCCCCCCACCAGGCAGTCAAACCTCGTGTCCCCTCCCAGGGCCTGGGGTGGTCAGGGAGCCCTCAAACCCTACTGGACAGATACCACCGTTTGCATCCTTTCCCCAGCTTTGAAGGCCCAAGGGAGCAGAACTTCTTGGCTAAGCTGACCCAACATCCAAGTGGGGCCTGGAGTCCTGAATTCGGACAGGGCAGCGGGGGCAGCAGCACCAATGCGGCCCTCGGTTCTAGACTCAGCCCCGAAGGTTCCTCAAAGCTCTGTCAATGACTGGAATTCCACAGGGACGTTCAGCCAGGCTGGTCCTGAATGTACTGGTTCACCTGCGGAGAGAGGAAGCCGGGAACCCCAGGGGCAGGCCTCCACTCGCCACAACGGGCCTCTGGGACAGGGAAGGGGAGCCTTGACATCACTTCCTGATGCTTGGTTGGTCCCCTGAGGCCCAGCTCAGGCTCCCCTCCTGCTTGGTTCTGATGTGGGGAGCTGAAAACAGCTCTCTGGGACCACCTCCGTTCATCAGCAGACTCTCTGTCCCTCCCACCGCTGCCCTGCACGTGGAGACAGACCGACTAGGCCAGGAACAGGGCTGGCAGCAGGCAGACAAGAGCTGCGACTATGCTTTGCAAGAGATTTCCGTGTTCTCCGGGCCTCTGTCATATGATCCTGACACTTTAAGCTTTGGGGCTGATGGGACACAATACAGCACTCCCCAAATCCAAGGAGATTCTCAAAATAAGGCCCAGCCACTCCCCAACAGTATCAATCCCAAGGCCTGGAAATTCTCACCACAAGTGGGTGGGGGTGAGCATGGCAGGTACCAGGTGGTGCAGCCTTTGTCTTTTGCTCATATTTCACAGCAGTTGTTTTTTCTTTTAGGTGCTGTTTAATCCGACTCTCCTGCAGAGCTGCTCCAGTGTAGCTGCTGGCCCATAAACAGACCCTCCAGCCAGACCCGTCCTGGGCCCCTGACGGCCAAGCTAATCCTCTTCCACAATCTTGGGGGGCCCACATTTCCCACAGAGAGCGGTGCCCACCCAGCCCCACCCCCAGCGAATCCAATTCTCTCCAAGGAAGGGGTCTGCCTCCTTTCATCACCCCTCACCCAGCACCGACTTGGCAACAATCGTGTGCCAAGCACCAGCCCTGGCAGGGTGACGGTCACAGGTTCAAAAGCAGAGCTGCCCCGGGGAGGTGAAGGAATCACAAACCCCCAGCACGCAGCTCCCTTGTTCTTGGGCAGAACCAAATCAGAGGTTCTGGGCTGAGAATGTGGTCCCTGCAGCCGGCCCGGCCTGATTCCCACAATGTGCCTGTTTGTTACTCGAGGCCCTGGCTTCCTGTGTCCACTGCTCTGCAAGTGGCTTGATGCTGCCACACACTGACAGCCGATAGGAGCCCCATGGTCCTCGGGGGTCTGCGGCAGTCACTCAGCAGGTGATTTTAGCTCCAGAAGAATGGGAACCCCCCATACAGCATCTCCTGTCACCTAGGTGGCGAGTCCCTGACGGGCTGCAGCAGGCGTGACTGGTCAGTCCCAAAGCCGGGTGCTCTGGCCTCCCCTGGGCATTATCTCCCCTGGACTGGGCAGCAGACTCTTCGGTTCAGCCAATATTTACGCCTCCAGTCTTTTCGACTGAGCACATCCATTTCCCTTTGGGGAGCCACCCATTCCCAGGGCCTGTAATTCAGGCAGAAATAGGACTCTTTGTAGCCAATCAGAGGGCTGAGTTGCCCTGGCCACTGTGATTGGTTGAGCAGGGGGAAGCACATGACCCAAGTCAGTCCAGTCAGAGTCAGTGTCTGGACCAGGAGCTGCTCTCTTTAATGATGGGTGTGAGGATGGAGCCTGGAGGTGCTGGCCACCAAGAAGGGAGTGCCAACAAGACCAAGACTGGATTCAGACAATGTCTACGTCCTGGATCACACCACGCCTGAAGCCAGAATTTACTCCTGGCTTTCAGTTACATGAGCCAATACATTCTTAAGCCAGTTTGAGTTGTGTTTTCTGTCCCTTGCAACTGTAAAAGAATCCTGATAAACTGCTTCTGTCAAGGGCCATTTTCTGGGTGCCCAGCATCTCCACCAGCTTAAAGGCCACCTGCTACGTGCTAAGCACTCTAAACTATCACTCTCCTTCAGAAACCAGACAAACAGAACAGACAACGGAATTCACCTCCACAAAACCAGTGAGCATCTACCCCCGCCGTGTCCTTTAAGCCTAGTTTTTCTTTGACTACAGTGACCAGTCCCCCTGGCCTGAAACCCTGCAAGGCACAAACTTTCAAGTTCTGCCTCAAGGCCATTTCCAGACCTTTCTTGCCCAAATCAGCCTTTCTCCTGTTCTCCCACCTGGAGGGGTCTGCAAGCACTAAGCCCCAGCAGGCTTCCTTGGCCTGAGGGCTCCAGGTCCCATCCAGGTGTTGAGTATGTGCCTGGCACTGAGCCTCGGCCCCTGAACTCTCTCGCCACGCCTGTGGGAGCAGTGGATGTCAACACACGAGTCTGACTGCAAAGCTCATATTCTTGACTGGACTAGGCTCTCAGCCCTAAATACCATAATGTGGTGCATATTTCTCAAACTAAATGCCAGGACTGAGAGCAGGACACAGAGCTGGAACTGGGTCTTTCTTCAGACTTTGGTGAAAATGGCTGGGTCCCCCAGCCTTGGCTCTTGCCACAAGCCTCGCCCCTCCCCAAGGCCTGGCTCCTAAAGGGAGGAATCCAGGAGAGGTAGAGCAAGCAGCGGGGGGCACTGCCTGTTCCCCTGTCCTCCCTCACCAGTGCGGCTCCCTCCTCTCACCCCTCCTCCCTCCTCTCCATCCTCGGGTGGGGGGGGGATTACCAAAACACACAGAGGAAAAGAAAGGAGAAGGCTTGGTTACACCCACCAACTCATCACATGGCCCATCCATGCAGCGAGCACACAGCTCAGTGCAGACCGGGAGGAACCAGCTTGACCAAGGCCTTGCCCTGCAGGGGACAGCCCAGCCTTTGCTTTCTTTCCCACCCCTGAGTCCGAGTCAGCAGCAAAACACCTGCATCTCAGTTTCTCTCTCCACCCATCACCAGAAGGCACAGCGCAGACTGAAGCTGCCTGTCCCACTGGTCAGAGAGCGGGTTCTCCCGGGTCCGGCTCCCGGTGGGAGAGCTACAGTTCCAAGAAGCTTGGGGGCAAGAAAAAAGACATTTATATCCCCATTTTATAGACAGCCAAACTGAGGCCCAGAGGAAGGTGCCTGGAATTAACAGCCTTGACTGCCAGGCCATTGGCTAGCTGACCTGGACACAAACTGGAAACAGGCTTTGGCTGAACATTCTTCTCAGCCCTTCTTAGACATCCATCCACTCAGGGGTTAAATGCATCGAACCGTGTAAGGCATGCCACAGGCCCCCGCAGATGTAAACAATTATGCAGAGAAAAGTGGGCGACCAGGGACTAGGGCCCAGCCGGGGCTCTCCTAACCATCGCCAGCCCACGAGTCTGAAATTCCCGCATCTTCAGATCTGTATCTCCAACAGATCCAGGCTTTCAGAAGAATTTAAACCAAGTCAGGGCCACGGCCCAGACAAACTGCAAACCTGGAGAGCTCGCTGTCTCAAATGTGGCTCCAGAAGGTGAACTAAGAATGGGGTTTCTCTGCTATGGCTTGACCGCTCTGTCCCTCAGCTCCTTCACCCATAAGACACAACAGTGACAGTGGAGAGCGGCGGTTTTGGAACCTGCTGCCTGGATCAGATCCTGGCTCTGTTCTTTAGTAGCTGTTTGACCCCGGCAGGTCTCTGCAGTGTTCTCACGTGAGGAATGCAGGTAACAACAGCACCCATCTCCCAGGGCAGCTGTTGGCTTATGAGTAACAGATAAAAAGCTGCAAGCGGGGACCGGCACCAGGCGAGCCCTCAGCTGGTTCCACTGCCATCAAGAGGATGCCTGACCCCACGGAGGGGGTGGAAGAGGAAGAGGGGTCTTGGGTTCCTGTGGGGGGCCGGGCCCACCCCGCGGGCTCACCATCCATCTAACTCACCCCTGACTATTCTCCAGCCCAACTGAGCAGCTGCTCCAGGAAGAACTAAAATATGCTCTGCATACTTTAAATGTTTCACTTATGAAAACTGGCAGGACCCGCCTTTCTAAATTGTTTAGCAATAAAGTCAGTACCGAAAACCATCGGAGGCTCTCGCTGCTGGAGCGCGGGGTCAGGGAGCCAGCGGGGGGCGGGGGAGCAGGACAGGCCGGCCGCCAGCGCGGAGCCCACTGGGGCTTCCAGAAGGCGCCATCTGGGATTTTTCAGAGGGGCACTGGGATCACGTCCTGGTGTCCTGATGTGAAATTGGATCCTCCCTCTGGAAGCCAAGCCCCAAGCCAGCGGGGGCAGTGGGGAGGGCCCTTCCGGCCTGGGACGTGTTCCCACACTCCAAGGGCGCCCCGGTTTCCAGCCAATAGAGTTAATTGAAAAATTACCTCGGGCTGAGAAAGAGCAGGGCTGGGCCATGCAGGCTGGGTCGCAGGAAACCCTCCTCGGCCTCCGGCGTGACTACTTCAACCACCCGCAGCTGGAAGGCCAGGAGCGCGCTCGGCACCCCAGGAGCAGGGCAAGCTCGATGTGCCGGGCTCCCGTCCCGAGCAGCCCCCCAGCAACCTCGGAGGGGGTACACACTGCCCGCGTTACAGGTGACGAGACTCAAGCACAGAGACCCGGGGCCTGCCAAGTGCAGTGCTGAGGAAGGCATGGGCCACGGTCACCAGGGCCACCTGGCTCCCCTGCAACGCTTCTTCCCAGGGTGCTCTTCTTCCACGTGCCACGGGGCCCCCAACCCCAAATCCTAACAATCACAGCTCAGACGGAAGCACGGGGTGCACACCAGCTAGCAAGGCCGGCCGGGGGCCTCCCGCCCCGTCTGGGAGGCGATGATGGCATCTTCATACGCAGACGGCTGCCTGCGCTGCTGGCAGATACTGCTAAGCTGAACGCAGTGCTTTTCACTCTTCAATGCGCTCCCACCTCGTGTTTATCACCCACCCCCCTGGGAAGATGACAATGGTGGGCTTTATCGTCCTCATTAAGGGGCAGTCCCCCAAGGCCCAAGGAGTAACAGCTCCTCCACTCAGCCAGCTCACCCAGGGATTCTGAGGTGCACAAGGCCTGGGCCCCCCGACCCTAGGCCTTCCCTCGACCCCTTCCACCCCACCTGTGCAGGCTCCTGGGGTCAACCCTGCCTGTCTGGGCTGGTTGGTCCGTTCCTGTCCTCTTGGGTCCCTGTCTGTTCAAAGGGCCTAGGGCACCACAGTTCTACAGCGGTCCGTCCCCGATCCCGACGCCTCTGCAGTCACGGGTTCTGAGACTTCAAAGTAGGGCATCAGTGGTGGCCCCACAGCTGTGACTGTCTTTCCATCAGGCTACAACCTTCAGGACCTAAAATGTACAAAACCAGTGAGAAAAACAATCTTCTTTCACTTGGGGATTTTCAGCAGTGAGGTCTATCAGCCAAATGTACGACCGAGACAGAAGATGGTTTGTGTGTTTAGTTTTTCAGCTGGGGGCAGGAGAGAGCAGCGGGATGAGGAGGGCAAACTCAAGTCCCTGAGTTACAGCGTCTGTGGACAGAACTCCTGGCACAGGAAAACACTATCAGAACAGAAGCTGCATCTCCAATTCCCAGTTTTGACAAAGGCTTGCTGAGCACCTGGACTGAGAGGCAGTGTGGTCTAAGTGGTCCGAAGCACCTCGGGGACCAGTTGGTCTGGGTTTGAGTGCTGGCCACTGACTAATCTCTCTGTGCCTCAGTTCCCTGATCTGTAAAATGGGGCAATAACAGTATTCACCTTACAGGGTTGTTGTGAGGATAAAATGGGTGACTACACACATACACACACACACACACACACACACACACACAGACGATACACGTGAAAGAGCAGTGCTTGGCCAAGTGCTGTCTGGAGCCAGTTCTCCCTTCCCCCTCCCGGGAGCCACTGCCTTCTGGTTCTGAGACCAGCCCCTACCCTGCAGCCTTGCCCGTGGATCCCCAGGGGCTTCTTCTCCTGGAAGCTCCAGACCCGAACCCCTGGGTAGAACATTCCTTGCTGAGAGCTCTCCAGAGTGGGGCTCCCAGCAGCTGGGGGCTGGTTGCTGAGGAAGTGGCCCACAGACCCTAATCTGGAGGTCTGGGCAGAGAAGCCCCCTCTATTTCCCCCAGTTTACAGACTGAAAGAGGCAGAGATGTAACTTGAATTCCTGCTTTGAGCTGCCGCCAGCTCACCACCAAACGTTTCCCCTGTCTGACCGGCCCACTCCACCAACACTTCACAAAGGTCAAATGCTTACTCCACTCTGCAGAATGACTGCCTCTTGGGAGCGCAGAGGAGAAAACTATTCGAAAAATGTAAATTGAAGAAACCCCACAGCTTGCCACCCACCGCCCCCAACACACACTGGCGCATGCGTGCACTGCTTACCTCAGGTCAACGGAACACACGACCGTGTCCCAGCACCCTGCTCTTACAACAAGTCAGAGGACAAAGAGGCGATGCAGAATTTCCACCCATGGTGATCAGCGCCTCGGCTGTTTTCCTTGGAGGAATATAAACGACCTGCCAAGCCAGACACGGAAATCTCTTGTACAGAAGGGCGTCCTTCCAGGTCTTTCTGGAGCACCACGTATTACGTGCCCCAGTACGCAGCACAGCCCTGACCCAAAAGCTCAGCCCAAGAAGTGCCCGTAGAGCTGAAGACAGCCCAGGGCACAAGCCTGGGGCAAGGGAAACGTCAGATCAGGCCGAAGCTCTCCTAGGACGGCGCTCTGCTGGCCAGAGGTGCTTTCAAGACCAAACATGCTTTTCTCTGACGCCTCTCTCTTCCACACCGCTCCCCCCAACCCCAAGAGAAAACCCGACTCCAGCCAAAGACTAGCAGGTTCTGGGCGTGGCTGTGGATCAAAGCGTCCGGCTTAAAGGAATGAACAGAGCGGGAGCAGAGACACTGGGTGTGGATGGTTTGGAGCAGGTCAAAGGCTTTCCGTTGGTCTATAGACAGTTGAGCCTTCAACAGCGCAGGGGTCAGGGGCCCACCATCCAGTCGAAATTCCGTGTGTAACTTACAGTCAGCCCTCCGTATCCCTGGTTCTGCGCCCGAGGGGTCAGCTCTCCGCAGAGGGTGTAGTACCGCAGTATTTATCATCGACATAATCCACGTGCAAGTTCAAACCCGTGTTGTCCAAGGATCAACTGTTTTTTATTCTCATAAGCCGGCCGCCTCCTGCCCTGCTCTGTTGAGTGGAACGTCTAGAGCTTTCCTCTTTCTTTTCTCTAGTCCACAGACCTCAAACCTGGAACATCCGGGCCTTAAGCTACAACCTCTTTTCCTGACACATTTGAAACAGTATGGATCACTCGGGGGGGAAGGAGATTAGATACGTGTAACCAGGGCTGGCTGCCGTGTAGGGGACATAAACAAAACACGCACACTATACTTTGTGGATGCTTAAAAACCGCTCCCATGGTTGGGCAAAGCAGCAGAGAATAAGCCAATTGAAGTTAAAGTGTCTTAACCAGGGGCAAGTGTTAGCATCGTAACTCAACTCGTCACAAGCAGCAGCCCCGTGTGCTGCAGACTTGCTGCCACGACCCTCTGGAGCAGTGGGCGGGTGGCCAGACAGGCCAGTGAGGTCACTCCTCCTCTGGTGGTGGATGGCGTGGAGCTGCCGACGTTCCAGGAATTTGAAACAACCCCACACGCGAGCTCTGGCTATTCTTCAGCCAGGAGGCCCCAGACAAGGGAGCCCAAATCCAGCAGGGAGAGGAT